GGTGAGGCTGACCGGCCTGTAATTGCCCGGCTCCTCCCTCTTGCCCTTTTTGAAGACTGGAGTGACGTTGGCTTTCTTCCAGTCCTCGGGCACCTCCCCTGCTCTCCAGGACCTCTCAAAGATGATGGAGASMGSCTGAGCAAYAACCTCGGCCAGTTCCCTCAGCACTCTTGGGTGCATCCCATCTGGGCCCATAGATTTTTGAGTGKCCARTTTGCCTAAGTGAATCCAAGGAGGGAAACGGGAGCCGCGGGGGGAAGCAGCCTGGCCAGCAGACGTGACTGTGGGAGGCAGCTCCATCTCCATGGGCGCAGCGGCCGGCAGCCACCTCCTGCGCCCTGCCCGCTCCCGCGGGAGCATCCCGGGCCGCAAGGATGTCCCCATCCCTGCCAGGGGAGGCCCAAGGATGTCCCTGTCCCCGCCACAGGCGGCACAAAGGCATTTCCGAATGGAGCCACGAGCTCCAGGGCTACCTGCAAGGCAGAACAGGGCAAGCCTGGCATGGCGGGGCAGGAAACCACTGGCCAGGCATCCCAGGGAACAGAGTTTCAAAATGTTCCAGCCAAACTTGTTTCCCTTCCTCTGCTGAGAAGTGCTCCTTCCCCGAGACAGAACCCTTTCTGTTCACCCAAAATGCCTGTCTTTTGCTTCAGAAAACCAAGTATTTTGGGCTCTGTTTCCCAGGGGACGGAAGCTCGGGCGATAACGCAGTCTTTCATGGCCACCTCTCACCGACTCGCCACTGGGTTTTCTCTGGAGCTCACGGACAAATCTCTCAAAAACACCCAACCCTGCACATTTTCCAGCAACGGGACAAGGCAGGAGGCATCCACACGAGCAAAGAGCTGCAGAACAAACTTAACCCGCCTGGCACAGCTGAGGCAAAAGGGGAGGGCAGAGGGAGGCACGTGGATGACCCCAGGTGAGGCTCCAAACCCCCAGCTCCAGCTCCCGGCTCCCTGGGAGGACGGACAGCAAGCAAGGGGGACCAAGCAGCGGCTCCCGACGGGGCTGTCGGCTCCTCCGCGCTCGCCCTAGGCCGCACCGGGGGATTAGCCTAATCCCGGTGCTCGCAGGCTCGGCAGCGCTCTGCTCCGGCCGCCGYGCGGGGAGCAGCCGGACAGCCCGGACGAGCCCTTCTTCCCCACAAAGCGCGGCCCGTTAGGATGCAACAGGGAAGCGATTAGCAAACGCTGCCTAAACTGGCTCCTTAGCATCCCGGAGGAGGGGAGTGATGCCCTTGGAAGGCATCAGGAGGGAGGTGGCCTAATTGGGCTGCAATGGCTCCAAGGAAGGTTTCCTTCTCCGACCTGGAAAACGGAGCTGTAATTACGGAGAGGCCGTGGGATGTGGCACCCGGTGCCTTTCTGCCTTCATCCCACGCCTTCCGCCGGCCCCGGTACACGGATGGGCTCGGGCCTTCGCTCCGGCACTTCCCCTGCTCACCGGCCTTTCCTACCTGCTCTTGGATGGTCCCCAGGCCCTCAGAGCAGCCCGGCCTGGGGCCAGCAGCTGAAGGGAAAGGCTGGAAATGACGGCAAGAGGCCATCAAGGACACGGTTGGGCAGCACCTTGCTGCTCAGGACAGAGCAGGGACACCACGTGGCTTCCACAGGGGAGCCGGGACGGGGCTGCAAGCTCCGTGCCCTCCGTGCCAGCCCCTCGCGAGGGCAGGGAGCGCTGAGCGGAGCCCCGCGCGCCCCCGCAGCCCGGCTACCTGCTCCTCCTCGCGGCTCTCGCTGGAGTCCTCGGCCCTGCGCGGCCGCGCCGGGGCGGCGGGCGCCCGACGCGCGGCCTCCGGCGCCTCTCCCGGCCTCTCGCCATCTGAGCGGGAAACAGAGAAGGGAGTGAGACCCTGCCCAGCTCCTCCACGCATCCGCCGGCGCTCCCACACGGAGCGGGCTCGGCAGCGGAGGCACCCGGGCTTGGATGAGGCTCCGGGAACGCCCCACGGGATCCCAGATGAGTCCAGGACCACGTGCTGGGATGCCCGTCCCCATCCTATGGCATCCTCCTGCAGCTCACCCYGTTCCTCCCTGCCCCAAGGGCTCCCTCGGATCCATCCTCCCTCTGCAGCGCTAAACACAACCGACCCCCAACAACGTTTCGGGCCAGGGAGCCACTGCCCGTCGCGGCGACCGTGTCATGGGAGGAGGAAAAGGCGCCAGCAAAGTCAGGGGGGGAATAAAATGAATAAATAAATAAAAACCTTCCAGCCTTCTGCGACAGTGTTTATTCTTCCCCAATCCAAATACTGGATACGAAAGCAAAGGACAACATGAGGGGAGAGAAACCGGCGAGCCCAGGCGCTACGTGCGGGAACTGGAGATGAAGGTCCCCTTTGGAGGGCGGCAGGGCCCAACGGAGCGGCCGGGAGCGCCGCGGGGCAGCAGGGAAGCGCTCCGGAGGCAGCAGCTCCCTGCCAGGGGTGCCGGGAGCCGGCGGCCGGTGCGGGAGGAAGCCCCAGCGCTGCCCACCGCCCCCCGACACGGCCCCTTTCTTGGCCAGCGCCCTCGGCCCTGCTCGCGGCCGCGGAGCTTCCCGGCCTCGGCGGCTCGCGCTCGGGTCACGGAGCAAATCCACTTTTCCTGCTTAACGCAGGGGCAAAACGCTCCGACTCGCCGCTCTTCCCGGGCAGGGACGGCTGCCGGGGCGCCCGGAGGGAGCGCGAGCTCCTCTCCCTGGCAGCCAGCTCCCTGCAAGCTCCCYGGCATCGCCGCCCGCTCCTGCTCGGGCTCCCTTCCCATCGGCAGCGGGAGGCGCGGGGGCTCCACGTGCTCCTGGATGCTCCGTGGCAGCAGCGGGATTTCAGGCGCCTCTTCCCATGGGATCTCGCTGGTCCTGTTCCTCCTCCTGGAGACCTGGGCCAGCGCCCGCCTCCCGCGTCGCCGCGTGCGCACCGCTCCACACCCTGCCCGGCCGTGACGGGACACGGGGACACGAGAGGGGTGCGAGGGGCCAGACCAAAGCTCCCCGGGCACGCGAGGTCCAGACTGGCTTCAACAGCCTCTACCTCCGGCCACACGGCATCCCAGGCTACCCAAGCAAAGAGCAGCGAGCRGAGGGCAGTATCTTTTCCCGACCGACCAAGGGAGCCCTGGACAGGCAGGGCTTTCCCAGCGGCCTCCGTGGAGCCGTCTCCGTGCCACAGGAAAGCATCCCAGAGGCTGGAATGGCTGGGATTGCTTGGCACCAGGCCCGCGGGATCCCGCCGTGAGTGCAGCTCCGGAACCGGCGATGGATGAATTTAGCTCTCCACTCCCCACGAGAAATCCCCCATCTGGCTCTTCTGGCTTCCGACTCCCGCGGCAAAATTCCCACCGCACGGGAGACACCGAAGAAAGGTCAATGCGCCACCAGGCAGGCCCACAAGAGCCTGTCCGCCCAGAAAGACAACGCAGACCCTGGAAAAGCCACACAACCCGTCGCCGCCGCCGCAGGAAGACACCTCGGGAGCGGGTGCCAGCAGGAGGGGTGCCCGTTTGGGAGGCCCGATCAGCGCTCCCAGGAGCTCCGAGGAGGATGCGGCACCGTGGGAGCCGCAAGGAAGCGCCGCTCCCGCCACGCGGGAGGCGCCGACCAGCAGCCCCCGTCAAGAGTCCAGCTGTATTTTCCATCCCTCTTTTTCCTTCTTCCCCTCTTCTCCTTCGCCCTCCACCTGGCAGGTGGGTATTTCCACCCTGCCGGCGCGGAGCCGCTTCCAGCCGGGAGGGCACCGGAATGGCCTCATTATTTCAGACGGGGGATCCGCACGTTAAATTAGCCAGAGCAGGGTAATTACCTACTCGCGGGAGACGAGGAAGGGGGGCTGCCCCCGCGGAAATGTGCCTTTGCAGCACCCTGCGCCCGCCCCACAAGCGGAGCGCCGGCCCCGGCGGCGGGAGCGTCGGTGCGGAGCCGCGGGCTGGCCGGCCGAGGCCGCCGCGGCGGAAGCAGGAGTGGGTTTCCCTCTTGCAAGCCGGGCTAATCGTGGCCGCATCGAGTAGCCTCTTGYGGTCGGGGCTTCCGCCGGCGCCAGCGTCCGGACGATCCTACGGCGGAGGAAGCAGAAACGCGCAGCAAGGCTCCCTATAAGGCACCCCTCGGATGAGGGCAGCAGCTTCGTCTCCCGCTTTCCTTCTTGTGATCCYGACTTCTCCGCAACATCCAAAGATGTGCAGGATCCTGCGGGGCGAGACTTGGGTTTGACCATCGGAGAGGCTCCGGCGCCGCCACAGAAAGCCGTTTCTCACGCACAAGAGCCCCAGCTGCCGCTCCTGTGCCATTTACTTCGCACGCGACCTCCCCACGCCGGGTGCCAGAAGGGCGGCCGCGCAAGGCCCTCGCCGGGACRGTACAGCCCCGGTTCCGGCCAGCGTTTCACACCATGTTCATCGCCGAGGTCAAGGGGAGGAAAATAGGGAGAAAACAAGCGCAGACGCTCCCGTGCTGGGTGGCCCCCGGGAAGCTGGATCCTCGGAGCGCGCGAGCACCTGCGTCTGCGGATGAAGTTCACAGCGATCACCTCCCCCGGCGCAAGCTGGCTGGGCGCCAAGGGAGGATTTTATTTTATTTTTATTATTATTATTAGTGTTCGACGTCACTCCCCCCTCTCTGGTTGGAAAGCGCGGCTGGGAAAGCGGCGGCGCGCGGGGCGCGCGGGAGAACAAGGGGGCCTGTGCGCGGAGCGGCTCCTCGCCGCGCAGCGCCGCGCCGCCGTCAATGGGCCCCTTTGTGCGCGCGGCACGAGGGGCGGCCGCGAGCCCGGCGCAACGGCGGCATTCGTGAATAATGAGAGGCACGGACGTGCCGGGCCAGCCCGCGCCAACGGCCCGCGGGAGCGCCGGGAAGGGGGGCAGGAAGGAAGGAGGCTCCCGCGCACGGGGCCTTCGGGAGGTCCCGGGTGGCGGCACCGAGGGGGCATCGGCGGCAACCGGGAGCAGGGCTCCGGGAGGCCGGCTTCGGATGTGGGAGTGACGGGGACAACACGGCCATGGGAGTGATGGGGACAACCCGGCCTGGGTGTTGGGGGACAATCCATCTCCGGATGTCAGGGGGGACAACCTGGCTCCGGGTGTCGGGCACAACTTGGCTTGGGTGTCCAGGCACAACCTGGCTCCGGGTGTCAAGGGGCACAACTCGGCTCTGGGTAACAAGGGCACAACCCGGCTTGGGGTGTCAGGCACAAACCGGCTCAGGGTGTTGGGCACAACCCGGCTCCGGGTATCAGAGGGGATAACCCGGCTCTGGGTGACAGGGCACAACCCRGCTCTGGGTGACAGGGCACAATCCGGCTCCGGGTGACAAGAGCACAACCCGGCTCCGGGTGTCAGGGGCACAATCGGGCTCGGGGTGTCGGGGGCACAATCGGGCTCGGGGTGTCAGGGAACAACCCGGCTCTGGGTGATGGGGGCACAACCTGTCTCCAGGTAACAAGGGTACAACCCGGCACTGAGTGTCGGGGGGAAAACTTGGCTCCGGGTGTTGGGGGGCACAACCCGGCTCTGGATGTTGGGGGGCACAACCCGGATCGGGGAGCAGGAGGGCACAACCCAGCTTGGATATCAGGGCACAACCCGGCTTGGGTGTCGGGGCACAACCTGGCTCCGGGTGTCCAGGCACAACCCGGCTCGGGGTGTTGGGCACAACTCGGCTCGGGGTGTTGGGCACAACTCGGCTCGGGGTGACAGGGGCACAACCCAGCTCGGGTGTCGGGCACAACCTGGCTCCAGGTGCGCAGGCACAACCCGGCTCGGGGTGACAGGGGCACAACCCGGCTTGGGTGTCAGGGCACAACCCGGCTCGGGGTGTCCAGGCACAACCCGGCTCAGGGTGACAGGGGCACAACCCGGCTTGGGTGTCAGGGCACAACCCGGCTCGGGGTGTTGGCCACAACCTGGCTCGGGGTGACAGGGCACAACCCGGCTCGGGGTGTCAGGGCACAACCCAGCTCGGGGTGTTGGGCACAACCTGGCTCCGGTGTCGGGGCACAACCCGGCTTGGGGTGACAGGGGCACAACCCGACTCGAGGTGTTGGGCACAACCCGGCTCTGGGTGTCCAGGCACAACCCGGCTCGGGGTGTTGGGCACAACCCGGCTCGGGGTGTC